TCTCACCCTGTGATGTATTGCATTATTGTAGCTTATGTTAGCGTTGACAATTCTTGAACTATTTGAGTTTATCTCTTATTTATATTGTATGTTACCCACATAATGCATAAGTGTTTTTGGGTAAAATTGAAAGTGCCCTTAAACTTTGAGAGTTAATTTACTTGATATTTGTAATACTACTGATTATATAATATCAATAAATGAAAAGACKTACCAGGATTATGTAAAGAGAATATAAGCCAAAGATACAGAAACAGTATAGTAAAAAAAAGTTAAGTAATTTTTCTGTAAATAGTGTTAACTTACTGTACTGACTTTACGGGAATTCTTTTGTTAACATTATGCAGCATAATTTAGCATTGTTTAGTTCCGGCAATTTTTCACRCTTTTAATGCTTGGACTATACTCAAAATATATACTCGTTTCTGGTTGGTTGGGTGCTATATTAATTATATATAATATACTATTCGTTTCCTTCTATCTTGAAAAAAATGCTGTATTCTGAATAATGAATTCTCACTCAGAATTCGCAAATAAAATTGGAAAAATAAAATGATAACCTCGCCGCACTCCCTGCGTGACTTAGTGAGTTAAACAGCAGTCTGCTCGTCATATGTGTACGTAGCCACCGCAGTGCGTCTTTTAGTTGTAGAAAGTGGGTGAACAATGACAGCATCTATGATAAATACGAMGATATAACTTGAATCACGCAATCGATAGAATAGAATACACTGGAATAGAATAGCTAGAATACCCTGTGTTTGTGATTTATTGACAACTGACATTAGTTTCTGCTTTATGCCATGTGACATAACCACAATAAAAATATGGCACATTCAACAACAGGAAAGTGAACCGGTATTGAACYTTCTTGATATCTTAATTAGCCTGCTAGATTTGTGTAGCGCATTTTGGTTTACCGCAATTTTTGATACGTACAGATGAGAATAAGATAGGYAATCCAAGGGAAATAGTAAGTTTTTTTTCGGTAGTGTTTGCTACCAAGACAAGTGGACCTTAGCTATTCAATAATGATTATGAGATTATTCACAATAATCGCAGTCTTATGTGACTTATTCATTAATATTTTGATAATGCGAGAAAATGTTMAAGATGTACGCTGATTTACGCTATCAAAAACCTAATTTGGATGTGAAGCTAGTTCCAAAAAGTAACGCAAAGGAGTTTTAGGGAGTTCTTAGCAATGAGCACTGTTCTGGTTGCGTCAAAGCGTGTTAGCAGTGCTTACTTGCAAAGATCCTTTAACTGTTCCCGCCTGCGTTATTATTATTATTATTTTTTGGAAAGCAGCCTCACATTTACTTTCATCAGTATCTTTTTTTGTTTCAGTCCTAGGCTGAAAACTGGATATTAAAACTGATATAAAGGAAGAGAGGGGAAAAAGTCTGAAAGGCGCATGGGAATAATCAAGTTGAAAGTTAAATCCATTTTTATGAAAACGTCCTAATTTCGTAACTTCGACTAGCAATGTCAAATTCGTTACAAAGAAGAGACATTAMAAACCGTAATCGAGTCGGTTGGAGTAACTGATGTATTTGATCCAGCAACATTTCTTGACAACAATTTGAATTCTGTATTTTTAAACTGTCTTGCTCTATGATTGCTAGATACATAAAGGGAGATTTAGTTGACCTGCAAGATTAAGTTTATTTTAATTTTATCAAGTGTTATTCAAGTTGCTCTTTAAATCAATAAGAGTTGAGGCTACGTCGTTTCCTATCCCTTTTCACTAGTAGCCACATTTGTGATATCCGTGGTATTTCCCAGACAGGTAACCAGTATGATGAGTAGCAAGTATTGATTAGTTAGTACTTTAGTTACTAATTTTTCCTTTTTGCATTTGAATATCAACTCATCAGGATGCATATGAAATATATACAGCTACTATACTCCTACTCGCACTCGCACTCGTACTCGTACTCCTACTCCTACTCCTACTCCTACTCCTACTCCTACTCCTACTCCTACTCCTACTCCTACTCCTACTCCTACTCCTACTCGCACTCCTACTCCTACTCCTACTCCTACTCCTACTCCTACTCCTACTCCTACTCCTACTCGCACTCCTACTCCTACTCCTACTTGTATTCATACTCCTATTCCTATCTGGTCATATATGTTACTTTTAATGCGTGTTTTCTATTTCAGCCTGCTTTGATAGAATGCCATTTATGTGTAATGGTAACAAAATTAGTGCAATCTGCAAAGACAAGTCTCACCGAAGCAACGCATTTATATCAGATATGTGCAGAGCTTCCTGCCATATTTGTTAAGCAAGCAATAAAGGAGAAATTAGCGAAAAGGTGAATTTTCTTTAATGAATTATCAATAAAATGATTTTTAATTTGAAAATTGGAATCGAGGAATCTCAACAGTTATGTACTCTGAGCCAGAATGTTTTAAAATTAATTCTTGACGAGGGCGGGTTTATTAAGCGCTGTGAAAAATTATCGTTAAATTGTCTYGAGGAACGGTATATGGGAATGAATAAATCATAATCCATCTCGAACTCTATTAGGAACTAGCAACTTGGTAGACATTATATTGATACTGTTTCTTAAAATGCAGCAAAAAATGCGGTAAACGGAATCATTGAACTGCAGAGTAATACAAAACTGTACGAACTATTTCTTAGAAATACTAACTGATTGATTTGGACAAATTCGTAAAAAAGCTGAAAATCACATAATTCAAAATAAGAGTTCTTCTAATTTCTATAACTGATCCTAAAATCAATTCTATGGATTATCTTGATAAAAATCAAAGGTAAAAATCTCCAACAGTGCTAGTTGTTTCAATTCAACCGTGCTTTACCTTTGAAGCAAGATAGTAAGTAATTGAGCTTTTCTTAATGTCGACTGTTTCAGTTTCGTGCAGAAGACGATTATTCACAGACCATCGKTCATTGCGAGCTCAATGGMTGTGTCTTSGTTCGATGCACCTTAAAAAAAGKATYAAATTGGAAAGTGCTTTTACTTACCAGKTTTTTTCGTTTGCTWATTCTAAGTTCATTTTAGGATATTTCAATCGTGAATTTATCGCCCAAATTGGTTTCATACAAGCCTATTAAGGTCATTTGGCTGATAAGCGTCAAATACCTTGTAATATTGTGAATTTGGCCAAAAAACGTGGGGAATGAAGGACACTTTCGTTTAATGTAAAAAAAAATCATGGATCTAGATATTTATCAAATATGTTAATATGATGTTTCGGGGTTTTGTAAAATCTGTGAGAAAACTGTACAACAGCTGTAAATGCCATTTTAAAGGGCTATTGTCTACCGGCATCCCTTTCGAGCTTTTGTTGATGCTGAAAATGGAAATGCCTTTTAATAGAAACAAAATATAATAATTTTTGGTATACCTTTCTGCTCTATGAATAGAGATATTATGAAGATTATGAAGTCATCTCATGTTGGCAAGGGTGGCCTAGTGGTTAAGCTGCTGGCCTCTCACCGCTGTGGTCCGGGTTCGATTCCCGGGCACGGACCATATGTGAGTTTGAGTTTGTTTGATGTGTTGTTCTCTCCCTTGCCACGAGGGTTTTTCTCCGGGTACTCCGGTTTTCCTCCCTCAGTAAAAATCAACATGTGAGGAGTAATGTGTGCTAAAATACTTAAAGTAGAGGTAGTGAGTGTGAGAGTACAGGGTCCGCAGTAATTGGCTCACGCTGTTGCGGTTTCCCTGCCCATACTAGGGGCAAAGCTAATAAATTAAATTAAAAATTAAATTTCATCATGACATTAAGATGTAAAACACGACCTGCAATGAACCCTGCTATACCATCTCCCTTAAAAACTATAAAGTTTAAAATTTAGTTAAATGATGATTAAAAAAACGGATTTAGAAATCATATTTGTCTGGGACATACTGAAGTCGTGTAAGAATCATTACGATTTAATAATTAACTATTGTAACCTTGACTCTTGCTTTTGCTCTTTTCAGATATTCGGGAAATTCCAGTCAATGTCAAACCTCTGTAGATAAAATTATTGTTATGTGAAATATAGTCAATGTGCCCGTAGATCAATTCTCACTTGACAAGTTATTTTATTGTTAAATGTCTGAAGCGCGTCAATAAAAGTGTACCGATGCGATGTTACTTCGTTTTATTATTTATGTATAACTTTAAGTTGAGGATCACTTGGCCGGTAAAACGTCCTTTAGAGTTTTTTTTTCTTCGACGTTTGTTTTGTGTAATAGGTGATCATGCTTTGTTGCACGCCATGCCGTTCAAACAAACATCCCAATATGAAAAATTCTAAAATACTTCAAGACTGTTAGAAAGAATAAGTTAAAATACTAGAGAAATGACAATATGCTGAACCCACATTACAATYATAAGAAATATATTAAATACATATTGATGTGATTATGATGAAAGTGCCTCCGTTTTTTACTTCGGCCAWCATTTCATTTGTATGAAAATGAATCAACCGTCGACAGATTGAATTGGAATTCCAACAAATGATTTATCGCTCAGTGAGTATGTAACAGACTCGTACCCAGTCGTTTCTCTTGCTCGTCTTACGGTTCACGGTGCATAAAGGGGAGTACGAGAAAAAAGAAGAGTAACGACTGGGTACGAGTCTGAATATGTATTGCATTTCTTTGAATATTTGGATGACATTGTTCATGAAATATAAAGTGCATTTGACATGATGCGAGCTTTTTACTTAGTGTATTCATGTTTGGGATAGGGATTAAGGGGRACGCAAAATGAATRTATAACTGATCAAAATGAAAGARGTGTAACTTTTTTTCGATGAAATTCTGATAATCTTATTRACTTGACATGAAAGAAGTGTAACTTTTTTTGGATGAAATTCTGATAATCTTATTAACTTGACATCACCTTTAAAGTATTAAATGAACCAGGAAAACTAAAAAAATATTCTAATAGATCATGAAAACCGTTTATTGGGCTTCTCTACAAATATCTAAAAAAAAGTTGCAAAATTAATACAATAGGTACTTCACTTTTCGACTTTATATTTTTATTACAATAAATTTGAATATTTTCTAACAGAAACAACATTGATAATTATCTCAAAAAATATATCACATAAAGTGCAATTTCAATTCATGCAGATATATATAAATACAACATTGACATGCAAATTTCTTGCTTTGAATTTCTATACCAAAAGCAATGTTTTTATATTCATCGAAATACATCCTTTTAAAAGTGACGAAAACCTTTGTATGTAATCATATTCCCTGTCTGTCACAAATCCAGTGTTCTCGTACAATATTTTCAAAGGCTGCTATCTTTTGCCAATAAAACGTGCTGGAATATGTACTTTTGATTTCTTTTCTCCCATAGTGTCTTCCATCACATCATCATTTGGCGGATTTCCTTGACTATCAGGCGTGTCCTGATTTTCGGGATTGAACTGATTGACTTCATCATTAGTTTCTTCGTTGATTGGCTTGTGCTTTTTTTGTTTACCTTTCATTAGTTGCCTGAGTGGATCGTCATCGTCATTGTCATCATCGTCGTCGTCGTGCTTTGGTCCTCTGATAATCTGTCCACGTTCTGAATTAAAATAACAGTGTTATTTCGGACTTTCAACAAAATCGATTTTCTGACAGTCATATTTTTTGGTCCCTCCGTCAGGCTACCTGACGTCTAAACAATCCATTTTTTCCCAAAAAGATMCCGAATCCAACCTTGTTCAAATATRATCGTCGACTAGTATCACCCTATCCCAACCCACTCACTGGGTTGAATGAACGCTTTGTTTTCAGATAATTTTAATATCTTCTGCTCTCTTTTGTAGCACCTCTCTTGTTCTTTTCTCTAGCACATCTCTTACTTTAATTGTTTATTTCTCCTTACTATGCCTACCTTTGCCTACACCTATTTGTCTACTTTCTTAGTTCCTCTGATTGTATAAACTCACAGGTTACCTAGTTCCATCTCTTTACTCCGACGAAAGATTAACGTCCGAAACGTCAGTAAGTTAGGAATTAGGAAGTTGTCAGTAAGTTATTTCATCTACTTTTTTATCTTTTTACAAAACTGTCACTCACCACTACACTGTTTGTAGACGTTCTTTGCAGCGTTGACAAATATAGGTTTACATTGATGGTCGACCAGACAACGCGCTGAYGGTTCYGCCTTGCACATTGCACTGCTRCATGGGTTGTGACCACAGATATATCGAGCAGGAACCTTGAAAACTCCTAAACAAAATTTAATAAATTTCAGTCTATGAAGAAATGCAAGGATACAGTAAAATTTGCTTTCTTACTTTATTTTATTTACTTTATTTATTTTTTTGATTAACATCTTATTAAAACATTTTTACAATGCATCATGCAGTCGTAAAATCCTACGGAGGTAATCGACTATGCAACAGTTATTTTTCCCGAACGAATTTTAATACATATCAGGGCCGTAACTAGTACGAGGCCAACCGAGGCATTCGGCTCGGTAAAATTTTGCYGATGCTTTTTGTTTTTCATCACTGATATCATCTTAGCCTATCAGAGCYGATTTCGTACGACTGCTTTTTTGGGCAAAAAATAAAAAAATAATATAAATCTTGAACGTATAGCTTCTTTGTTTCATAAATATAGCATGATAAATTCCATATAAATCTGTTCAATAAAGAGTTACTAAAATACCCACAAAACGCTGCAAATCGCATTTCCGAGATGAGACTGAATTTCAAATGTTCGAACTAGGGGGCTAGTTGCTAACTAGAGTTCCATRATCTAATAAGACCATTCCTATTACGCTGCACTACTTTTYAAACTTGTCGGAGTTGATCATCTTASATTTTCTCACCTTTACATTTCATAGTCTTTCCAAACGCATCCAGGAAAACAGGATGGCATTTTGTATTGACCAAACACTTGGCAGGCGTAGCTGTCATACACGTTGTGTATTTGCAAGGATCAAATCGACACACGGTGGAAGGGTTGATTGTTAGGTAAAGATCGGTACCTTTTGGGAGAGAATGATGTGTTAGAGTTTTTCATGGAACTTATTGCAAAAACAAGTGACAACAACAAAAATATAAATAAAAAGTACAAAACGGAAGATTACACAGAGTCATGCGCAGTGAAATGCTAAATTCGTAGGTCGCGAATAACTCGAATATCATCAGGACAAATGACTTGGAATTTCTTAGTTCTTTCTCCTGATGATATCGAAGGTCATGCGTATATAACACTCGTATTTCTCTATGCTACTACTAAAGGGCAACTAACATAATACAATATATTACTGATAATACTAAAATATGGGGATAATGAAATGCAAGACTACGCCGGGACGCGATCGACTTAAAGATTCACGTTTTCCGCAAAATCATCAGGCGAAATGACCTGATTTATGTACAGGCTCTCTACCAGTATAATAGTTGTGCTGTTCCAACGCAAATATATAACGTTTAAGATATATCCGTTGATATTGTTTTCAAATCTTCGAAATTTATGGATTGCAATTCGACCCTGAATCAACCCGGAAAAAGTAGATGTTAAAAAGCAAATGTTASGAGCAATTCCATTGAGAGACAAAAMGACATATTACCACATACCTTTGCATCCTTCCACTCTTCTCTCTTCGGAATCAAAAAACACTGGTTTGCATTTGAAGTCACTAACGCATGTTGCATAGGGCATTGAGATGCATTTTGCTACTGCACATGGATCATATCCACAGACTGTCTTTGGGTCGATATCCACTATGGAATTCTGGTCTATAAAAAAAACAACAACAACCGTTCAAATTCGAAACGTTTCCAGAAAAAAATCTGAATCTTTATACTTTTGATCGTATATAGGCTTCATGTTTGAGTTGTTGCTAAACTGCTGTTTCATCTATACAATATTTGTTGATGAGTATTTATATTCAGTTCCACAGACTTACCAGTGCATACCTTCCCAATACATTTGGAAACCTCTTTTCGTCGTCCCTTACAGGATGGTACACCATTTATTGGGTTTGGGTTGATACAATGTCGAGATCGATGCTTGTAACCTTTTCCGCATTGGTTGCTGCATTTGCTCCAAGAGCCCCAAGGAGTATAGCCATCCTCTGCAAAACGAACACCCAATATAATGAAATAAATACTTATTTATATAACATTGAAAATTTTTCTTTGGAAAAATAATGCTATTTTTCAATAAATATTCGAGTTCAAATAATAATGACCACAGGGTATCGGCCGAAGAGTCATAATAAAGATGTTATATATTTTTGCAAAAAAATAAWCCAGTTTATACGACCACAAGAAAGACCTTTAATTTTTTCACATATAACTGAGATCTCCAACCACCGAACATTTTATTTTATTTTATGGTTTTCTTACGTCCACATTCTTTCATTTTACAAAGCTTTAACTGGAATCTCGGTCCGTCGCAGTTTCGTCCTCCATTAATGGGGGCAGGATTAGTGCAGTAACGCTCACGTGATCTCAGTGCAGTTCTTCCACATGATACGGGGCATCTAGACCATAATGTCCATTGTGTAAATCCTCCATCAACTGCAGATTTAATGATTGAAAGAGTAAATGCCGATTCTTCATTGAACTTAATATAAAGACTTGCTCAACCACCCTCATCACAATTCGCAAACAAAAATACGCTCCTCGGTCGCTTGAGTTGTCCAYTAGGCTCGACTCACCGCAACTTTCCCAAAAGAAACTAAATTAAATAATTCGTTTACATTTCTATATGTGTGTGTTTGCAGTAAATCAGATTTTCTTAAAAAAAGGAAAAATTGCAGCCCGATTTAGTAATAATCCAAAAGAGACCATATAAGTACCMAAWAAATTACATTATGCTATATATTTTGCTTACGTGGTATAGTTCCTCCGGCAGCACTTAGGTTCTGTACCGGGTAAACGTTTCCAGTCTGATCAGTCGCGATGGGTACGGGTTGGGTCTTACCTTGGCTGTTAGGYGACACAAACCCGTTCAGCGATGGCTGAATAATATTCTTTGCAATGCCTTGCAATCCGCCTATTGCAGCCAATTCACTGGATATCTTACCATTGGCTAAGTCTTTAAAAAGAATCCAATGCAGTCAGTTGTAAACAGATTTAATAACATAAAAATAAATCATTTTTTAAACTAAGTGCCTTAACTTTTCTATCATTTCTTCCCAAAAGTAATTACAAGCAGAGACAAAGAGAAAGGCAAGGACGACYCTTTTATCATCCCGTCATTGGCCAGCGGTAATAAGCATTAATTCCGCYCCCAAGTTACAGATGAATTTTTAGTTTAAAGTTTCTGCTGTAAACGTGCTTTACAAGCTATACAAGTACATGTAGTACTMCTAGCAACAAACTAGTCCTTCATGAAGAGTCGATCAATATATACAATTAAACCATAATGTCACGTGATTACTACTGCCATTATTAGTCAAGCAAAGACATGTATGTCTGAACATGTGTACGTACATACTRAAAAGAGGTGTGGATATCAATATAGAGTGATGTTCTTACCTAACTTTTTATAGTCGGTTATTAACTGTCTTATAACTCCTTTTAAAGCTTTTACGCGTTGGTCTATTAAACATGCAAACAACATGCAATTAACGGAATTAGAAGAAGAACATTGCACATMTAATTGCTTTGTACTAGGCAAGATTTTGCATTTTGGTGGCGTGTTWAAGTCCCCTGTTTCATAAAAATACAAAGAATGAATAGAATTTCTATAGCTTACCTTTATTATAAAAAGTGATATTTCCTTCAGTGTCAGTCGAGCTWACGGGTGTTAGCAAGACAATCAGAAACACACATAGATGTTTATACTTGCGTAAATGCTCCATGCTTTCCCATAACACTCTTGGAAGGAGAAAACGTCTTAGATAGAATGTTAWGGTTCTATTTTGTTTAATTTCCACCCAGGGTGTAGCCTTTTAGCTCCTAAGAGTTCAAAAGCTACCTATTAAATGAAGCAATATCTACATTTAGAAGCAGGAACCCAARCTGAAGTAGATACCAAATACATAAAAACTGGGTAACTACACGTATAATTGCTTTTAAAACTCGTAATTACACTGTTTCCAGTAGATGTTTCAACYTGTTTTTCCAAACCCTTCCTACAATTCGATAATTGTCTATAAAATGTTCCCTTTTTATTCAAATTAAAACAGTGACGTATTTACACGAAAACGTTGCCTGGCGATAGTCGTAGGCTGTTACAAATATTACTAAATTCTTTAGAATTAACATCGGGGGATCATACAGTGATTTTTCATTTAGTTAATGGTAGAAAACTAGGGGGATACATAAAAAAAACGAAGGAGTTATTTTTGTCATTGACTTACTATTCTATTTTCCTCATYATTTTGTAAACCAACGGCTGGTGGTCCCAAAGTCGTCCAATCGTGATCGTAGATCAAYCAAACTATGTCGAGATTTAGTCAAAACACGAAATCTTGTTTAAAAAAAATATATCAAAGTTGAAGAGAATCAAAAACCTGAAGAAAACAAAATGGCCAAGAATAGTCCAGTGTTTACATCACATCGTCACAGTTCATTTCCTCTTTACTAAATTATTCACCCATTAAGCTGGTATACGATTATTTATGCTCTTATATTGAAGCGGGTGGATAGTTCCATAAAAAGCAGGTGTCGAGGTCCCTTCACGCGGTAATTTTCAAATTCTGATTTTTTATTAAGGGATACAAAACTTTGGACCTTTTTATCAATCAAATATTTGCTCTATTGTTCAGTGGAGATTGATCGTATATACATTGATATACATTGCTTGCATTGTTAAATCTTTCACTTTTTAAATCTCTTTAATCCCCCGCAAAATTTTTAATATCATAAGAAAGATCAATAAGGTGAATTTGACCGAATTCTGTCGGACCTTTTCTTGTAAAATCATTTCCTATCAGTAGCACCCCGCAGTATCGAAACCTACTTTGTGATTGCTCCCTTGAGTACGGCACTTCTATTTATTTAGCTTTTGCTTGTATGTTTATTTGTTTGATTTTGTTTGAAAGAGCATCTACAGCTTTTCTCATGTCATGAGATTTGCTCCGATTAATGCTGTAGTCCTGTCCCATTCCTATATTGCTATATGTATTCGTTTACTCACGRCTTTCAAAAATGGCGCGATATTTCACGGTCGCTGACGGYCACTGGGRACGAAGCACTAAAGCGAGGTCTCAAAGGCCAGATGAATARTCTCCTTCACGGTTACCTTCGCCATCTTGAAAGGTAGCCGTGCCTTTGCATCAAGTGAGACAACTGTTGAGCGTGCAATGATAGATATCTGTGAATAATTGTGTATAGGTGTGAAAGAAGGTTTCTATCAATGCACGCTCAACGGTTGTCTCGCTTCGATGCAAAGGCACGGCTACCTTTCAAGATGGCGCAGGTAACCGTGAAGGAGACTATTAGATGTGTAGGACTGGGGTCTAATTCTTATATTCTCAAGGGATAACGGGGAGGGATATAAAAGGTAGAGCCACGTGTTCTGGAGRGAGTTCTAGGTCTACCGCACTGTCAGCGTTAGATCTACTAAGGGAAACCTAAAAACGTCCCTGACGGTCTGTCCTGGTTAAGTTTTGACATAGGTCAGAGTCTCTAATGTAAGAAATTCAGAAAATACAGCAAAGGCCCAAAATAAAGATATAAAGTAAACAAGACTATGTTTACAGATGAATGTTTTCAAAATGACGACCAATTATTGTCGCATTAGTAATTCTACTCAAATGAARAAATCCGTTCGAAGGTCAAGTAATTCGTTCAAATTATAATTACTAAAAGATAATAAAAAGTCAAACTGAAAAAAATRAATAAATTGTCAAATTCAAATATATTATGTAATAATCTCTTAATGGTATGAGGAAGTACCTGATCCCATTAAAGAGTGCTCAATACACCGGCATAAAGTGTAGAGCTGATCATTAAATACTGTCTGATGAGTGCGTAGCACGAAACTCAGAGTTACAGCGAAATCTTGCCTCTTTGATATCATATATATAATAATCTCTTATAATAATGGTGAGGCTAGAAGCAGTCGATAACTCAGCAAAATTCGCTATTTGCTCCTCCCTGGAATACCGTGAGACTAATTATCATTACAATAAGATATCCATAATGTCATTCAATATGTTAGCTGTTGTGGAGATGACACCGGTGCCTGCCTAATTACATTAATTACTAAGCTACTGTTCGAGCACCGCTGTACATTTGGAAGGCATCTTTGCTTGTTTAAGTTTATAATCGTACAGCAGAAACCGTTGCATCGCAACTTCAATGTTCAATGGAAATAGTTGGGATTTAGGTTTTTCTGCGACTTGGGGGCGGAGCTTGATACTAATCAGACAATGATTGAACGAGTTTTCGAAAAGCTCCGCCCCTCAGATTGAAAGAAAGAACAAAATCCAGACACACTTCAAAACAAAGAGGTCGCGATGCAACGATTTCCGCAGTAATCAATCATTGCAGTGATATGATCAGTATTGTTTGCTTTGTATTTGACTTGCATTTTGMTGATCAGAGAGCAACAATATTCGCTTTTTAACAAGTGGTAAGCAGTCAGCATCTATCATGATCTATTTTGAGAACCCAGTAATTGATAAGTTTATTCATATTCAAATAGATTAGACCCCTTGTATGTGACG